CGGGCGGGGCGGGACGGGACCGATTCCGGAGCGGGCGACTAGCCGTTTGTGGGACCCTCAGCCCCCGCCCGCCAGTGCCTTACCTGCCCCAAGGCCTCGGCCGCTGTCGCTTGCTCCATGCCGGCAGCTTCTATTTAGGGCAGCTGGCCCAGGGGGCTTGAGTATCAGGCTGGGCGGCGGGCCCGGCACACGCACACACGTCTGCTGCGGGCGGGGGGTGGGGGAAGAGGGGAGGAGAGGAGTGACAGCAGCGCTGGTGCCGGGAGTCGTCTTCAGCTAGAACGCCATCCTGCTCTGAGTCGTAGGCCCCGCAAAGGTCGGCTCTCTTCTGTAAAACAGAGGTCCTATGTGTCTGTAGATGTTAGGCAAACATTCAGCTGGTGGCACTCCAGGCACCCTGGGCTGCTGATGGGGAAACAGCTTCAGCTCCTGCCACTGCGCGTCTATGTTTGTTTTGCATTCATCAGTGCACGTTGCATCATCTAATGATTTTGTCAAACATTTAGATAGAGTAGGGCTACTCTATCCGAGCTGGAAAAATCCAGGCGACTGCATGGCAGGAAAGAAAGCTATCAACAAAATTGGTCAAAACCTTTGAGGGGACATGTACCAGGCTCCAAGCAGCGGTAAATACTTCTTTACGGGAGAGGACGGGTCCTTGTGCTGTAAAGAAGGTGATGGCCCACCCCTCCTCAAGAGGTCATCACTGGACCTGGCAGTAGTGGACAATTTTGCGGGTCTGCAACCTTGTCTTTTTAGATAAGGTTATTGAGAAGATGGTAGGTCTACAGCTTCAAAGGGCTTTGGAGGAAACAAAATATCTGGACATGTTCGTCAGGTTTCAGGCCAGGATACACTATCAAGGTATGATCTCTGGCAGGCTCAGGATGGCAATAGTGTATCCATCCTGAGCCTCTTTGATCTCTCAGCAACACCTTGATACTACCATGGTATCCTGTGCCAGCTGAGGGGTTTGGGAGCGGGAGGCAGTGTTCTTTGGTGAGTCTCCTCCTTCCTCCAAGGCCGGTTCAGTTGGTGTTTGGGAGGGAGAAGTTTTGCTCCCAGGCCTCTGTTTTATGGGGTGCTGTTCTCCCCATTATTTAACTTGACCCCATGGGGCTAAGTATCATCGGTATGCTGATGACAGTTGTACATCTCTACCCCAGGCCATCCAAGACAATGGCAGTTAGGATTGCACTTTGGAATGAAAGAGGGTAAGGGGAGATGTGATGGAGGTTTATAAAATTATGCATGACATGGCATATAAAACATGGAGAGATACATTTTTCTTCCTCTCACAATGTTTAAACTTTAGGCCATCCACTCAAAGTAAATAGTTGCATGAAAGGATACCCAAATAAACAATGAAAAATGCTTCCCCTCTAAAAATATAAAAGATAAGTCATTTAGATATGACTCAAAACAAACTGAAACACAGAGGTTAGGATCTTCTAAAAGAAAAAGAGTTAAGAAAACCCTTCTGTGACAAGCTACACCAGCTGATATTCCCTATTCTATGCTACTGTTACATAAACTTAGCTACCATTTCCCACCCTGTATGGGCAGGATTTCAGGAAGCATCTAATTCTGGTGAACTTAAGTGTTTCATTCAAAAATCTATCTTTCTGAATAAATTTTGATTTCAAATTTATTCTTTATCGCCATAGTTTGAATACAAATCTTGGCAAGGCTATAAGGATAAGTAAAAGAAAGGCAATTTTATATGGAATATTATACTGACATTGTATATTGTATTTCTGTGAATCTGTTTGAACATTTCTGATAGTCAGCACACCATGTATTTTTGTGTTAATCAGATCTGCCCATTCTGTTCTGGCCCAGGACAAATTGGATACATGTGTTCTAATTGGAAAATTGCCCAGAAAAGTATAGCCTCTCTTTATCTCCCATTTCATGCAAAACTTTTCCTTGCCTCAAAAGAGAGAGTAGTATCTATGGATTTATAGAATGGGGTTTTTTTCTGCACCTCTTTGCCACTTAATCTGCTCATTTTACTAATCATAACTGAGTCTTGCAGGAGCTGGAGGAAGCATCCTGTAGAGCCTATTGTTTCTCCTCAACTCCCCTCCCCCCCGAAACTAGGGCTAAGTTGTGTTGTAGTGCCTTGGGAACTAAAGGCTCAACCAGTACAGGCCAGAAGATACTCCCTCACATATCTGGGACAGGCTCAGGAGGAAGGCAACATGAAATGTAGGTAATCACATTTTTAAAACACTTGTCTGCATCCAAAGAACTGCATCAGCCAACCTGTGGAAGATACACTATAGGGACTCTAGGAGGGCAAATAGCAGCTTAGTGTAAACATCCAAGAAGTCCATTTAAGCCATAAAATGATTAACCATTATGACCACATAGTTGCACTGAGTTTCTTACCATTTTCTTTCATGATGAATGTTCAACTTCTACTAGATTTTTCTTTTACACTCTTGTATACTCACTTTAAAGGAGCAAAACAAATGCTAATTAACTGGATCAAAAGAGATCTTTCCATTAGAGCTAACCGTGCTAAGCAGACTGAAACACCAGTAATACAGACTGCAAAATCTAGAATGTCAGGCTAGTTCACAATTATCTTCTAAGAACAGGATTTTGTTTTGTTTCATTTTTTCTCCATTCCTGATATAAATGAGAAAAAAAATTGCAAGATCCAGAAAATTCTTTGGGGAAGAGGACAACCCCGAAGCCAAATGGCTTTATGTCTTGCAATATCAGACTCTCACATACTGAAATCACTCCAGAAAAATAAGACTAGTTATGGAGGTTTCTGTGTGTTACAGTAAACTACTCAGATTTGGATGACAGGAATATAAAGCATTATATCATATTCTTTTAGTAAATCAGACCATTGATCCATCTGCCCTACATTTTCTTACAGATATTTTTACAACTGTCAGTATTCCCACATTGCATGGCCAACAACTTTCCAACCTGGCAGTTCTGGGAACTATACTCCCAACATGTCTGAAGGACAAAGGCTGAGTAAGTTACAAAAGTGGAATCTCCAGATATTGCTGAATATTCCCAGTATATTTCAGCACTGACTGTGATTTCCAAAGCTTCTATAAGATCAACAAGCAGTTCAGCAATGATCTCCACTGTTGGTTAGGAACATCTCAAAATGTTTGCATCCAAACCCATTGGAACTGTCGGGGTTGAATATGGGATTTTTTAGATGTAAACTATGCACTCTGCCACTAAGCCAAAGGGACAAATTTATCTAGAAATGACTACTTGTTTCCCAGATCTCATGTGTTCCTCTAACTTTCATGGAAAGATCTATGACAACTGATGCAAGAGTTGTAATCACATAATTCAGAGAGCCCAAATTCTTATCTAGAGATGACAGCAATAGAGAGTAGTATCTGAGTTGTCAGTGCCAAGAAACAAGAAATGGTTGTACAGGCCAGACAGAATGGGGGCTGAACACCTGTTTTTAGTAATTACTTCAGTTACGAGGAAGAGTAGGTAGTGGTTGGATGACCATAAGACAGCTCAGAGAGCCTGTCAGTCTGGGGAATTCCTTAGGTCACCCAAAGAGGCTTCTCCACTTTCATACTTCTACCAAGTTAGCTATTTTAGGTCATCTGATACAATCAAGTAAGTCAGACTAGTTCACAAGCAATCATTGCTATGGAATTTGAGAGGATCAGTTATATACCCACATCATATAATCCCCAGGAAAGGCCTGATACTGAGTTTTCAAGAGGGGAAAAAACTCTAATGGTATGTGGGCAAGACCTTGGGAGACTGGGCAAAGAGATGCTGCTAAGGGAACGGTCATGTAAGAGGCAGCATAGCCTGCAAATGGATAGTGGGTGGAGCAAGAGGCTCAGAAGAGATCCTCTCTAGTTTCTTGGGCTATAGAGATGGGGGGAGAATTGTACTTCCATACTTGCAAGATTGATGTCAGCCTCATAGGGTAAGCCAGACAGGAATTACAAGCAGATGAGCTGATTTTACTTTATTGTAAAGCTACATTGATAGAATCTTGCAAGTCTGAAAGTACAATTCTCCCCACATCTCCTTTACAGCCCGAAAAACTAGGGAGGGTCTCTTTTGATCCTCTTGCCCTGTCCACTATCCTGTTGCAGGCTATGCTGTCTCTTATCTGACCATTCCCTTGGCAACATCTCTTTGCCCGGTCTCCCAAGGTCTTGCCCACATACCATTATAAAAACAAAAGCTCATTGTAGGCAATGACCCATAGGCTATTCCTAACATTAGACATTTGAGCCTTCCTTGTTCATGCACCTGGCAGAGAAGAGGGAGGATGTTGGTTGTGGCCAACGCCTTTCCCTCATCAATCTGGTTATTCTATAAAACAGATTGTAATAAAAAGCCAGTATATTCAGCCTCAGCAGCTACCTAGATTGTTTTTATATATATTAAAGGGCAGGGCAAACACCCTCAAGTATCATAAAAGTTGGGACTTCTCTTGGCTTTTTGTGAAGTTGGTACAATCACCACTTTACCCTTATGTACAGGCTCTGCAGAAAAGGATGGCAGCAGCCCACAGATGAAACTACTTATCAGCAACATTTATGGAATATGCCTTAAACAGCTCACCATCTCCACTTCTGCCTCCCCTATTTGAATGAAAGCCAAGTTGACAAGACAGAAGAAGAAAAGAGGGAGAACCCTTGCAGAGAACCTAAGATGACTGCCAGAGATGGAACTGAAGAAGGAATTTTAATTCGAAGGACTACATGATAAAGTCCACTTGCTGAAGTAACCCTAACACCAGAACTTCTGTAATAATGAAAAAAAAAAAAAACCTGAAGAGATTTCAGGCACAGTGTAACAGCATTATTTTACAGATAGATTTGGTCAAAAATGCTACTCTGTGAAGCATACCTTTTCTCTAAATTAAATATACATTCTTTATATTCACCAAAATATTTAATTCAAGACGTGTGCTTAACTTTCCTGCTCCTAAAGGTTAGTCAGTGCATCTGGGATTGCAAACAATATTGTAGTAAGAATTAAAATGTGTTGGTTCAATAATATATGGTTTGGAAATGTTATTACTCTTAGCTGGGATTAAGGATGCTCTCTATCTTTTCCAGGAAGGGTCTAACAGTATCTAGGGGATATTTCTAACACAAAGCAGTTTAAAAGTTAGTCAATCCCATGGAATTAAATCAAGAATATTCAGGGACCAGAAAGAATAATGTCACAGGATGCACACTTCAATCTTTGTACAGTTAAACATATATTACTATGATTCATTAAATACTGCCTCCACCAATGGAGAAATCATCAATTTGAAAACTACACTGTAGGAAACACATCCCTCTTTTGTCAGTTTTTAAAATAAGGAGTTCAGTGTGAGAAATATGGGATTAAGAATATCATTATTGCTACCTGGGAAGAATAATGGTGGAACTTGCTTAATTATATTGTACACTAGTCAAATTTGAGCAAGGAGGGAGGAAGGATGAAACCAAAGGGCGTATCTGTTTTGATTAACACAAGAATATCATGGCACCAAGGGTGCCAATGTCACCCACAAGATTCAGACATCTCAAACAGAATCTAGCAACTGCTTACAACTAGCGCTCCAGCACAGAGGAGAAATGTTAAGCATTGGGGACTAGGGTATCATATGAATCACCATATTAATCTTTCATGCCCAAGCATCAGGGCAGCAAAAAGCCCTTGTAGGCCGAAAAGTGCAAATTTCAACATATTCCAGACATTTGTATGTAGTCAAAAAATCAACACATTCCAGGCCTATGTATGCATCACAAAAATGTACAAAAATACTACCATCCAATACCAGATTTAAACTGGCAGCAAGGGAAGTACAATTCATGATCAACATTGAAGATTTCTCTATCAGCAAAAGAAAGAGGGCAGCATTGCAATTGATTGGAAATAGTAGTGATTGAGGGTGCAGAATTTCAAAATGGACACCCATATTTAAGCGATATGAAGTCTCTTTTGAGGGACAAAAAAACTGGAGAGTGTGCTGTGTATGTGCATGGTGGAATTAACCAGAAAGGAAGAGAAGAGGGTTTTCACACTGATTTCCAGTCTTAAGAGCAAACTAGGACACAAAGAATGAGGTCTTGTTATTGAAGAATCCATCACAAGAACTTGCTGCAGACATTGAGGGCGAAGACACAAAGTGAATGGAGCTGAGTGGTTTCCTTGTTTTGGGGGGAACAGCATTTGGAGGGTTTAAAAAAAAATTAAACTATCCCAAGGGTTGCTACTGTGCAGATTAAGAAATACATAGAAATTACTTTCAGACACTAAATCCTGTTACTGTACCAAAATATTCAGAAGTGTGAAGATATACACAGATGCAAAGACTATCAAGTTAAAGAGATCTCACATATACTGTCCAAGTCTAGATTGTGCACCAAGGAGTTTATAATTTGTCTGCTTTACTAGTGCTCCAGAAGACATGTTGAAGATGGTTTCCCACAATGCCTGGCTACCAGGAACTTCTTTTAATCTTAATTACAGGGGACTAGAGACTCCTTATATAGAGACTCTTGTCCCATGGTAGCAAGGCATTGCATATATTGAAACAAAGGCAAGCAGTATCCAGTCTAACCTGACATGGTAACACTTAACTGTGAGAGGCACTTATGGCTCAAGTGACGAAGAACATGCCAAAGACAAGAAACTACAAGAAACTCACACCCAAAGGTAAATAGTTTTTCCAAGCTTCTGTGTTTAGAAACTTACTTTGTCATAAAAAACTATAAACAGAGTATTTTGTCCCTTTTGATCAAATAAAGCATTTCCTCTTTGTCCCAATTCCATTTCCAAAAAAGATTTCTGCAGGTGCATCCGCAGGTGATGTCCTCTCCATGTTTCCAATACTGGCTCTCCTAGCTTCTGCTGAGGTAGGTCACATGCACCCCCTCCTGACCCTGCAAAGGAGGGGAGGTTGGCCCCTTGCTCAGTCCTGGCCTCACTTTATCATGCTTGAGTGGCTGAGGCCATGGGAGATGGCGGGCTTCTTGAGAGTTCCAACGGTGTACTTAATCTGAGGTAAGCTTTGAGTGCAAGAATTTGGCTCAGGGCTTCGGACTGGCTCCTCTCCATCTCGCAGGCCTTTGCTGCTGAAAAGAAAACATGTCCTGAGAAAGATCCAGCCCTACTGATCAACAAAATACAGTGCGCAAATAGTTTCTAAAGCATGCTATTTTACCAAACTGACAGGCTCATCATCTTTCTATTGGCTTTATGCTGCCCTTGAACTTGAAGGGAATGATGTTCTTTGAGATGGACTCATTCATTACTGTGTCCCCACACACACTGAAGCAATAGCAAGAAATACTGAGAAAATGGCTTGGTTTAAAATGAATGCTAAAATGTGGCAACAAGCAAATAAGCTGCATAACACAAAGAAGTTTGCTCCTCCATTCTCCTCCTCCTCAGTCACATGTCCAGAAAAATTTGGAAGCTTATCTTTATCCTTTGATAATTATAGTTATCTTCAGCTATCCTTTATTAGAAAATATGTTAATTTTAAGTAGATACTTCATATCTCTATCTCTAGTACGTACTGGTGGGGGAGAGGGGGGAACAGTATTACAAGCCCAAGTCTAAATTATGGTTATTCATGCAGCATTAAAATATGATTTAGCGTTACATCTAATCTGGGCCAGTAAGATCTAAATGAATGAGCATTATATTAAATACCATCATGCTCTTGAATATATTTTTCCCAAGAAGGTTATAAATAATGTTATTAAATAAAATAAAATGTTCTGTGTCATCATTAAAAAAGCCCAAAACTAAACAAATTAAAAATCAATTGAAACAAGCAGTCATCCCTACATGACATGCAAGGAAGCCAAACTCAGGCTTGTGGTGCTCATTTCAAAGCAGACAAGCACAGGTGGCAGTGGAAAGCACAGCCTAACCCACCAATGAGGAACAGATTCAAAATATAGTGTCCGGTTATTTCACCTGTTTCTGCCTGGCTCCACTTTGCTCAAGCCATTTATATGGAGTTCATTCTTCAGATACAGGTGAGGCCTTGGCAGTGTCCACTGCAGTTAAGAGAGACAGCACAGAATAGGGCATCTAGTCAGATGACAAGGCTGCTGAGATAAGGTTTTTCTTTCCCTCTCCCAGAAAGCTAAGAAATCTCCAAAATTACTAGATTAAAGAAAAGTAGTTGGGGGCCAGTATTTTAATTAAGCAAAGACATCACAAATAGACCCCTTAGGTGGCAACAAGCAAACAGACTGTAGTATTTCCTCATGAAAGAGTAAAACAGAAATAGTGTACAGGAGGGGAGAAGCATTCTCACCAGCACTGTAGAATCTGTTACTATTCCGTTGTGAAAACCTTTGTGACACCAATTTCTGAGCAGATCCACTCCTGCAAAAAAGAAGAGCCACCAAGTGAATATAAACTAGCCTTATCCAAGGGGAACAAGTCCAAGGGAGAAAGTTTTGGGGGAACGGACTTGAAAATTGCCCATGAAACTGGGGCAGAGACCAAATGGTGGGGAGGAATAGGGAAGAGATATTTCATCCCTATACTGACAAATCTGGCTGCAAGGTCCTATGGCTGGCTGGACGCAAGAAGACAGCATTAACCCAGCAAGCAGCACTGCCTGTAACCTTTGCTGGCAGTCCAGAATGGTGATAACTGCAGTGGTTTCGGGAAAGTCCAAAAGCTCTGGGTTATACAACTCCACATCTATTCCATCCAATGAAAGGACAATCCACGTCACTGACTAGCAGTTCCCTGTCCCATAAAAGTGCTCTCTGAGAAAGGAGACTAGGTTTTATTTTTACCTTTGGATTTGTTCAAGAAATATTTCAGTTCCCACTGTGTAGTAAGGATGTTGAAGTATCGCGGCTGCTCAAAGAAGCGTAGATAGTGCATGGAGAGGCGTGAGGGGAAGACTCGCTCAAACTGCCCACGCCGAGCATACTCATCTTCTGTCTCTACCAGGATACGCACATCATCTGGGGTCAGAACATCCAGGATTGTGGAATAGAATTCCTGGGGCCAAGAATGACAAGGCGTTACCTCAGCTCTTCCGGAATGTCTCACTTCTCTGACCTCACTGCAGTGCTGGCTACTCTGACATAGCTAACTTAGCCACACAACCCCTCCCTCCCTGGGAACAGGGGAGAAGCACTGAAACAGAAGTCTCTGAAAGATTACTGTGTGTTTTAAGGCACATTACTAAGAACTTGTTGGTCCAAATTGTATGGCAGTGTGTGTGTGTATGTGGTATACATGCAAAGTGCGGGGAGATGGTGCATTCTGAAAAACAGGACTGATTGGCTGACAAACTGAACAGAAGCATTCCACAATACAAATGTAATTGTAGTTCTTGCTTCAGTCAGAGATGTTTTCATCTGGATTCCTGCACAGAGCTCAATGGCATAAATGGTACCCTTGAATTCTACAATTCAGTGGTAGAAATGTAGCTGCCAGGGCTGGGTGCGCAGAAGAGAACATGTTTTATTTCAAGCTTGCAGCATAATAGCTTAGTTCAAAACAGTATGTCAAAATGTTTCAAATCAGTTCCTGATAGAACAAAATTCAAAATTGCTTGAATGAGCATAAAAAGCAAAGAATAACCCTGCTGGAGGCCTTGGGGTGCTCACAAGAGGAAAATATACCCTTTATTGCTGTTATTCCTCTGCAATGGTTATTTGGAAGCATGCTGCTCCCGACCCAGAAACTACTCTTAAAACAAATAGCCTTTGATCTACTTGCCCTCCAAAGAATTTTTCCAATCCCCTTTTAAATCTATCCACACTAGTGATCATCTCCACATCTTATTTACCCTATTCCACAGGTTAATTATGACCTGTGTGAATAATTTTTTTGTCTGTTCTAAATTTCCTTCCACTAAAGTTCTGAGAATGATCTTTGTGCTTTGAGAGATGGAGAAAAACTTCTCTCTGTCCGTGTTCTTCATGCTGCACACAATTTTATGTACTTTAATTGTGTTCCTCCTTAGCTGCCTTTTTTTCTAAGCCAAAGAACCCCAAATAGTATAGCCTTTTCTCAGAAAAATGGTGTTCAATTCCCCCTGATCATCTTGGCTGCTCTCTTCTATACTTTCTCCTGCTCTATTATATCCTTTTTTAAATGTGGCATCCAGAACTGCATACAGTACAAGTAGTCCTCACTTAACGACCACAATTGGGACCGGCAACTTCATTGCTAAGCACCGCGGTTGCTAAATAGAAATCACATGACCATGATGGACTTACAACATCACTTCCCATTCAGTTGTTAAGTGAAACATCATGTGTCTGCAACATGATTTTACTTCTGCATTTTCCATTGACTCTGCTTGTTGCAAGCCAGTTGGCGATGCTGTGACGTTGGAAATGCACGCTGGTTGTGAAGTGCCTGAATGGCAATCACGTGTCTGCGGAATTCTGTGACCGTCATAAACGCGAGGGTTGATCACAAAGCTGGGGTTTTTTTACACCATTATAACTTTGAATGGTCACTAAACGAGGCAGTCGGTAAGCGAGAACTACATTTATTCCAACTTCACTGAGCTACCCACCAAGAACCCATGCCCTACAGCATTGAGCAAAACTTTAAAAATGTTCAGAGTGTTCTTGCCACAGAAAATAAGGTCTGTTGTTCCCTTGCTTTTGATCCAGAGCCCCAAGAGTAAATGTTATAGCAGGCCACAATCAACTTGCAGAAAAACTGGCCCCAGGGACAATTGTTAATAATAAAAAAGAAATAAAAGAATAAAACAAATCCCATAGGAAGTAACTGAAATACAACTGAGTTCTCACCCACTAAAAATCTAGTTTAAACTTCATTATCAGGAAAGCTCCCCAGTTCTCATTACAGCAGAGAAGTCTTTTCAGTGTTTTAAATAAACTCTGAGATGCTTTAACAAAAAATTAACAGGATACAAGTCCAAATTTTAAAACATTTCTTTCAATTAGCAATTCTCCAGTTCTGAAGATAAACAAGGCAGTTAGCCACAAATTGTACTTTCCTCCACTCCTATGAAGATTTCTAAAATGTTGTTTTAATTAATTTTAATTTGGCTTGCTTCTTTATTCCCCTTTCTTTTTGCAATCTGGCAGAAGCTGAGCAAAAAAAATCTGTTTTTTCCCCCCCTTTTTATCTTTGCTTAAACTTAGAGTGGCTATGGGCTACAAAAGAGGCTATTGGTTTTTAACAGTAAACAACATTAACACTGCAATAAACAAAGCCACATGCACAAAGAGCACATTCAGCAAAGCTCAACAAATCCGCCTAAATCCACTGTGGATTTTTAAACACTACCTGAAGCTAAACATTACCAGGACACAAGAGTATGCACAGAGTGTTCAAACCAAGCAAACTAACATTGTATAAATGCAAAGATTCCTACTACAATCTTAATAGCATTATCAACATTTGTCTATGAAGCACAGGAGTATGCACGTGCCATTTTGTATTATCTGCTTGCAAAAATTAAGCACAACACACATGCAACTCACATCAGTTCCAAATGCATCCCATTCACTCATATGAACTCTTTAACTTCCTCATAGCTAAGCGCTTTTTGAAAACAAATGTAACTTACCAATCAGGATGGCAGACATGGAGCTGCAAGCAGTTTTAATCTGCCTGCCCATGTGTTTCCTCTCAATACTGCACTCTCACACCACTCTATGCAATCTAAACCAACAGTAGCAGGGACAGGACTGGTCCCTGCCCATGTACTGATTAGACTGGAGAAAGTTTGAAAAAAGATAACCCAAAGACAACCCATCAAACAGTCCAAAGAAAGTGCTCAGAACAGGTAAAATACTTGAAACAATACCACTCAAATCAGCCACAGTTTGTTCTAAGATTGAAACAAAATTCTAGAAGCATGTTTATTTTGGGTTTGGAAAACAGCCAGTTTGAGGATGAAACATTTGCATATTCCTAGTTTTCCTGGTGGGAACTTCTATTGGCACAAACAGTTGGTTGAATTTCAAACAATCCCCAAACCAAAGAAAAACAATAATGCAAGCCTTCAGAAGACCTGGCCACAGAGACTTCAGTCAGAGAAAGTTCCCACCACTACTACCCACCTGCTCTGGTACTTTCTGGGTCAAGTAATAGGCTTTTTTTGTTTTCTCAGCAGTAAGCAACTCCATACACGGCTTGTTCTTTTCCTTCATGACGGTGTTCAAGCTAGACATAATAGTTAAAATTATTAGTCAAGGGAATTATTCAATCAGGCCAGTGCCCTCCATTCAGTTACCTACAGCAAAAGTTGTTTATTTCAGTGACAGCAAAAAAAAACAAAAAAACCCACCAATAAAACATTAATAAAAGAGCAGGCAAAGCTTCCAAAGAATGCTTAACATTACAGTTTTGAAACAACATACTCCAAGTTGGGATGGGCAAATCTTTTGGCTTAAGGGACATTTGTGGGTCAGATTTACATAATTCACAATCAAATAAGGATAATACAACTTTGCTTGAAATCTGGCCTGTTAAAACAGTTGATCAGGTGTGTTGTCTACAGAATTCCATCTCTATTACTTTTACCCAAACACAAATTTTATTATATTTAAACTTTTTAGTGCACTACAGGACATAAAAGTCTACTACTTCTTTATCTTTAAACCTGTAAACCAAATCAGCTCCTAAGAGCGTCATAATAAAGATGTGGCATTTCTCTCATGCTATCACAAAATGGATTTTCAAAAATTATTATCTCATGAGCATCATAGGCAGTGCTGGTTAAAAATGGGGAGGACATTTTTTTAATGGAATGTTGCATCATCCCTATCTCTGCTGACACTGGAGAATGCAGTTCTAGAAGATTCATCAAGGAAAATATAATTGATAAAAAAGTAAACAGTTTTTCCTTCCTTTTGGTTAATTCTTTTCCTGCTAAAACTAGGGTTATAGAAAACCACCAGAGTTACTGTAGGTTAGTCACCCCAGGAATCTGGCAAAAATAATCATTCTTGCCCAGCACCCATGTCATACAGTATCTTAGACTAACAAATTTATTATTGCTTAAATGTTCCTAGATCACAGCCTATCTAATCAGATACATGGAGCATTACCTAAGAGAAGTATTTTAATATATTATTTGTTGGATTTATATCCTGCCTTTCCTCCAGAAACAAAAAACAGTATACACAGTGGTCCCTCCTCCAGTTTTTCCCCATAAGAATAACCATGTGAGGTTACGTTTTCTCCCCAACTACAACCTCAGAGAGATAACTGTGAGAAAGACTGACCAGCCCCAAATCAACCATTAAGCTTCCATGGCTAAAGGTGGACTTAATCCTGGGTCTCCCCTTCCTACTTTAGTACTTGAGCCACAGAGGTCAGAGGGAGTAATAACAAAAGGAGAAGTCTAAAACAATGATAATTGCCTACAGATAGCACCCCTTATTTATACTTTTCAGAAGGCTTTAACCAGATTTTTTCAAATCCTTCTTAGAAATATTTTTCTAAGGCTCTGAGTACATTGAAGTTCACAAGATTCAGTATGACAGCAAAATATACATAGCTAGGTGAATACTGCTGTGCTGAGCCAGGCATCATGCTCTGAAAGAAGCTCTGTATTTCCATCACTGGCCTCTCTTTCTGAACTTGTAATCTATGACCTCTGACCTGGTTGTGGAGCTGCTGGCACTTCCAGAAGGTGAAGCCACATCTTCTGCATTAGGCAAGAGAAAGCCGGCCAAGTTAAGGGCATCCCGGACCATTTGGCCTTTGATGCTCACATCAAGAGGAGAATTTGAATGAAGGCTGCAGAAAAAAAAACAAGCATAGTTTTAGAAATTTTATTTAACAGGCTCATCTTCTTTCCTTTGGCTTTCACATTCAGGACAGCTGTCCATGTAAAGTATAAACTCAAATCAAACTAGCAGTGAGAAAAAAATGGCAAAGGGATAATCAATTCAGCTGTGAAAAATTTCAAAATTTCACAGTAATATTCAGAATATTAGTTCTAAACAGGTACACCACAACCAGTCTTATATTCACCATCTTCCTCTCCCATACAGTGCTCTCAATTTCTCCTTTCTTAAGTCCTTCTCATTAAGAAGTTGGAGCTATGAACAAGAAAAATCTCTTAACAGTACGAAGACTGTTGATGAATGAAAGAATGAAAAGAGTCAGCAAACACTTATGGAACAAACTGAAGGCCCGGACAGTACCCACATCACAATAAATATGGCAACTAGAGCCTGCACTGGGTGGTGCATCAAGCACAGCTTACCTAGGAGAGATGTTGACTTCCAGGATCCATGGCTTAAGGTTCTCATCCAGCATAACATCAAACCCAAACAGCTCATGGCAGCAATAAGGACGCCGCACATACATCTTCACAAGGTTGACTATGTAGGGCTCTGACCTGAAATGCAAAACAAATATTCTTTTACTCAAGAAAGAAAAATCACCCTGCAGTGAGGCAGTTCTCAGAACTTGCTCTATTATGAATCATTTATCTATGTATATAGAACAAGTGAATCACAAAACCAAAGTATCAGTTTCTAATGGCTGAGATGGGGATCTCACTGAATAGGTTTCCATAGATCCCCTCCTAATTCATATTATTAAGATGAGACAGCGTCAGTCAAGTTAATTTCAATAAAAAAACAGTACTGTGTGATAATTTCAGTCCTGAAGTGCAGATGACATGAATTATGTCAACAGATACATGTGCTCATAAGCAAGCAAGTCTCAACAGACATCTTCAGCTAAGAGAACAGCTAGTTAATTGAAAGGCTGAAAAAAAAAGACAAAATGGAGGAGGAAGAACATCCCATGACTTACGCAATGATGGTTTTGACAACAATATCTTTTATTTTTTCCCAGATAGCTTCACTATCAACTCCTTTCTGGGTCAAATAGTTCCAAAGTGCCTTCAGTGCCCTATAGAGATAGAGCACAGCATGTAAACAAATAAACATTACACCAGATGAAATCATTCTCTTATATTTCTACTTTTAAAGGAAAAAAGACAGCATGGCCTATACCCTACTATGCAATGAAAGGCAGACTTCATCCCTTGCCTGTCAACAAAAAGATCACACAGAACTATAGAGATGAGGCAGCACCTGCTGGCTAGATGCCTCAAACAACAGAACACCCATAACACCCTTGTCCTTTCTGTCTCCTGACACTCACCACTTATGGCCCTGGCATGCAGTTTCATCTGCATTGGACTTGTATTCAATGTTTTTCTTGTTGATACTGTAATTGGTCAAGTGCATGTACTTGTTGCTGAGACTTTTCATGGAAGAAGAGTATCTATAGTGAACAAAAGAATAACCTATTTTACTTTGTGAAGAATAGACACTGAAATGTATAGCAAGAGGCAATGGTAGTTGCTGGCTGTTCATAAGCTACAAGACAGAACCACACACTCATCTTTTAACACTATAATCTGCACTAGGCCACTACCTGTACCACCTTGTACATGTATGTACTGTACATGTGAGAGAAACAAAAATACAGAAATAAAGGTAATTGTTTGAACTGGTTAAAAACACTGATTTAGTGTCAGGACTGACTACTGAGAAAAAGATAAGCCTGCAAGCCTACAGCCTCAGCTACACAGTGGAAGCAATTAATAGGCATTCAACACTCACTGCTTAGGTAAGGAACTGTGGGTAATGATGGTCCCCCTGGACTAGAACTATCAGCATTTCTCACTACTACTCGTGCTAGCTGGCTTTATTAGTAGTTCAGCAATATTAAAGAGCCACAAGGTTCCCATACCTGGCTTAAACCAAGATATGTGTACAGAATGCCACTTGCCCTGAATAACAGGTGGCTATTTAAGAAAGAATATATTGTGTTAATCTGCAATTCATGAACTGAGAAATGTAATTTCAGGTCATGTTCCAGCATGTTGCAATCTTGGCCATCTTATTTATATTGTTTTCAATCCCTTTACAGGCAACCAATTCCTGAGGAACCTACTTGCAGCTCGCAAAACGAACAAGTCCATCTTTGAACAAGTAGACACGTAGAGGATCATAGCACGTCACGTAAACATAAATCCTTAGGTCAAACTTACTTCCACCAATGAGGTAGGGCTTATGTATGTATCTGAAAGAGGGAAAGAGGCAGTGAGCTACAAGGAAGCTCATTCCGGAAGAACAAGCCTTAGGATTGTCACTATACTTCATTCTTTATCACCAGTGACAGAACTGAGAGATGGCTTCTCTCCTACAGCATTTGAGATACCCCTGATGAAACTTTCAGTAAATACCATTCCACATCACAGAAAAAGATCTTCTCCAAGCAAATTTCAAAAGACACTTTGGTGCACTAACTATAGCCACTCCACAATTGCTTTGCTCTTTAACTGAAGGCAAAAGAAATCAACTTCACAGAACAATATGGATTTTACAGTGGCAGGAAACACGCTCAGAGATATAATGTTTCCTTATAATCTCCTTCAGAGATATAATGAGACTTAGCCCATTATCTTGTTTGCAGGAGAAGGAACCAGTTTACCACAAGTTGTAGGGAAAACCTTGCTTACCTTTGCACCAGCAGTGGTCTGCGCTTGGGCAACTGGCTCCATTTATGGATGACCTGTATTCCAATGCCTCTAGCTGAAGCTGGCTAAGAGAGAGAGAGAAGTACATAACCTTATACTGCTATGCTACAGTTCAAAACTAAAAAATCAGAAAAAAATCTGGAAACCTAACAAGAGTACGCAAAAATGAAAAGTAAAGTCTCCCTCAGGTCAAGCCGAACTCCTGGTGACTACATGGGCATGTTCATGTTTTGTTAGGAACAATTTAGAAATGATGTGTCATTGCCACCTTCTTCCAGATGTTTTTTCAACTTCTCAGTCTAGTCTACAGCCCTGGGATTCCCTGGTGGTTTCCCATCTAAGGACTAGCTAAGTCTGAACCTGCTTAGGTTTTCTGAGATCAGCCAAGGTCAGCATACATAAAGAAATCTAGCAAGTGCAGATCCTAGAGAGAAAGTGGAATAGAAGTTGGTATGCTGGGGTAGGCAGGAAGCAACATCCTGGACCAAAGCAGAAAGCCCAAAGAACATGCCCTGTCTACATATGAATCAGACATCTCTGCACTCTCACCGGCTTCACAATCCATTTCTGACGACTCCCACAATCTTCCCAAGCTTTCCTAAGCAGCTTGATATCTTGAGGGAGGATGAAAGACTGGGGTAGAAAGTTGAACTCTTTTTTCCCAAAGCGCAGTTGCATCTTGGACACATTTCTCCACAGACGGTCTTTCCGACCAATTTGGAATGAGCCAGGAAAGTGGTTCAACTGCAGGTAGGAAACGAGGAGGAAGAACAAAAAAAATGAGGTCTCAGTCACCTCTGGCTTGCACCACCTCCCCAAATTCAGTTACACTGATGAGAATCAATATAGTTCATACAACCCTAAATCCATGGACCTCCTACGGACAGATCATATAAAGACCATTGCTGGCATATCTACCATAATGGCTGAATTCACACAAGACACCAAACTTAGCCAGCTGCTAACCCAAACATAACTTATTAATTTTGAATCTGCTGATGCACAATTACCCTAACCAGGTCCAGTGCCATCATTCTGGGGATTATAGGCCTCTGCCCACTTCCTCCAGCCCTGGTACAAGTAGTCCTCAGGTTACGACGGCAAATGGGACCGGAATTTCCATCACTAAGCAATGCAGTTGTAAAGCATAACATTATGTGACTATAACATCATGTGACTACACTGCTTAGTGACAGCAATCCTGGCAGTCCCAGTTGCCCTCATAACCCCAGGACCACATAGGTCATTAACCAAGGACCTCAGGTTGCCATGATGTGAGAAAAGGCAGGAGTTCCAGCAAGCAAGCCAGCGGGTGAGAACTATGGGCAGCTGGGCAGGTGCCACGGGTGGGAGCTACAGAGTATATAGGTGGGCAGATGTTGCGGGTGGGCGCTATGGAGCATGAGTGGATGCCATGGGCAGGCACTATAAAGTGTGGGCAGGCAGGCAGGTACCACAGGCAGTATTACGGAGCGTGGGCAGGTGGGTGAGTGCTGTGGGTAGGCGGGTGCTACGGAGTGCAGGCAAAAAAGCAGCAGAAGTGGGAGTGACTTGTGACATCCTGCCAGCTTCCCCTTTGACTTTGCTTGTGGGTAGCCAGCAGGGAATATCACAAATGGCAATCATGTGATTATAGGACACTGCAACCGTCCTAACTGCAAGCCAGCTGCCAAGCAACCGAATTGTGATCATGTGACCATGGGGACACTGCGACAGCTGCAACTTTGAGGACTAGTTGTCCTTTGTCAAAACAAGTCCTCCTTGTTCAGCGCCGTTGTAACTTTGAATGAAGTTCAAACTGAACAAGTGGTCATAGCCCAAGAACTACCTGTATCCCATGAGCCCTTGCACAGAATCGTACTGGCAAGGTTTCATTACATCAATGGTCTATTCCCTACTGGCCAGACAGACTGCAGTGGAAAAAGCTTGAGTGCTGCAGCCAATCAGTGTTTGGAACACGTGTCCTGGACTGACAAGTCTTGGTACTGAGTTTCATAACTGAACAGTTTACATTTCAGCTGCTTTATGCCTCCATCTTACTTCTTTGGAGGACTAATGGGGAACGTTTGGGGAAATGAAACCCACGGATGATTGCGTTTTAGGTTTCTACAAGAGTTACACAGATGAAGGTAGTTTGATTCGCTGTTCAAGCTGCCCTTCGCTTACCCCAATACTGACTGGATTACAGGATTCACATAACACACTGGACCCTTAAACGTCTTAGTTAAGCACATTGTGTGAACCAGTTATTATGTCTTGCAGGCTTGTAGGCCTCCTTTAAAAGTACAGCCACTAAGAACAACATGTGAAGGGGGGGTGGGTGGAAAAAATATTGCAGCAAAAATCAGGCTATATATAAAGATTTTTTGCAGGACAGGGAAAGCTAGGGAGAAGATAAAATAGATTACAACTTCTGTCTCCACACTGAACTTTGTTGTTCAACATGTTCACGTGCATTCTGACCATATCACATACCTTCTGGTGTTCTTTGACAATTCTGAAGCCAGGAGACTTCATGTGATGGCCCCAGCAACCCAGCCAGTCATTATTTCCTATAGGCAATTATGAGACAATTATCTGAACAAAATCAATCCATTTTTCTACACTATGCTCAAGTAATTTAAATATAATAATTTAAGCATTCCAATTTGTGAAATATAAATTTGAAATATTTTCCCTCTTCCACCTGATTCAAGAACAATTTCATATTTTAATAAAATTATCACAACACAGCAACATATCCAATGCCAAATGACAATTATCCTTTTTTTTCTAACAGATCCTCACTTTTTATCTAACTATGGTCCACTGGAAAGGGCCATTACAACTCTGTATTATCACACACAGACCACAGCCAATCAGCCAGTATATACCAAGTATGACAAGAGTTGCTAAATCATGTGAAATTTACTCCATTTTCAAACCCCCTTCTTATCTTGGCATCCTCTTTTCCACTGTTTTAAGTCCAGAACATATAGCAGCGATGTAGTTCTATATAAAGCATTAGCATCTTGTGGGTAGTAATACTCCAATGAGAACTGCCTATAGGGATACACCCAGGTAGAATAACCAGAAAGCTTCCCCAAAACTTGGGGAACAACCACAATTAGAGCATTATATTATTGAAATCTACATTCTTAAAATGGAATTTTCAAGTTTTTAGCCAATGCTATCACACAGTAACTGTGGAATTTTTCAAGTTTCATGGAATCTAAGGCAGGGAGAGAGATACACCCACAGACCATTCCCAGCTTGAAGAGGACTCACTTCTGCTGATTTTGAAGTGGGACCTGGCGAGAGTTTGCTTCACAATGTTTGGAGTCACTGTACTCATTTTCCATCGCAGCATCTTCCTCTGTTCCCAAGGAAGCTTCTCCACTAAGAAGGAAGTAGATCCTAAGAATAAAGTCTGACCAAACCCAAGAAACACCTATTTCTTAAAAATCAATTTGTCATGAAGAAAACAGCAGGAAATGTCTTGGAGAAAATAGCCTTTTGTCATGGAGGAAAGAGACTGAAACCATCAAATGAAGGAAAAGCCCTTCAAAGAATTTCCATTGTATGCCTCTAGCACAATGGTCCTCAGTCTTAGAAACAAAAAATACCTGCATTGGGAAAGCAACATTTCCTCTCTCTCCCAGGAACAGATACCTCTAGCAGAGAATCCTTCATGATCTGGGAGAGGGGAGTAGAGAAGAAAAGAAATAGCTGCTTCTGGCATATTATGCCAACCTGTTTGGAAAGGGCTACTTTATTCTAATTCAGTTTCTCTCTTATCTGTTACCTAACTCCCTGATACTTCCCTTTGTTCCCTAACCTGGGTGCAGAACAAAGCAATTCACAATGTCCTGAACCTTCCACAAATAACCCCCTCTCTTTCTCTTGACCATTCCTACATTAGGTGCATATTTGTAAAAGGTACCAGCTTACACTGCTGGTGTTAACCCTTGTACACAGACACATTAAGTAATTTGGAAAATCTGCTTGTAGCTCATGTGCCTAGGCAGTCAACCCAAACTTCAGACCAGAGTACACTGGTACCTCAGGATGCTAAAACAGCCATGTCACAATTGAGAGCTTCCTTATCTAGCAGCAGTCCTCTGGAACCAAATGACTGCATACCAAAGGCAATACAAATATAAATATAAATATAAATATAAATATAAATATAAATATAAATATAAATATAAATATAAATATAAATATAAATATATAATTGGCTTTTGTGAAGCTGATTTAAACATTGATTCTTTATGCAGAAATATATTACCATCTAGATACAGATTCCAAAAACTGTTTTAAATCTTAGGAGTTACTCAGGTTACTGAGGCTCCATATTTTAGTAATCATCTTAAATTGGATTATAATGCATTATTGTATTCATTTTCTGATGCTTCATTTATTATTGTGTATTGTGCTTGGTACATGAAAAATAAAAGTTAAAACACCCTCAATATTCTCTATTGTGGATCAGATTACTGGGACTGGGTTATGAGGAGACAGAAGACAGAGTAAGATTAGAAAGTAGACCACCCCAAGAAATTGTGCTGCCATAGCAAGAAGCATCCATATTTTATCACTATGCCCAAAATAGCATTTAGGATGGGTGGCTGTGATGACTATGAATATGTAAACGCTCCGGCTTAGCAGAACAAAACACAAACATGTGCATTACTGCTACAAAGGAATCTGGGACTCATTCAGCCTACCTAGGACAGGTCACGGAGGAGAGCAAAATGACTCCATCTACTGGGCATTAAGTATGAAGGCCAAGTGAATGCCTAGCATTAGCATTCCTAAGCAGCACTGGTTTCAGTGATCTCAGGATTCTATAGCTCCACCAATATAAACATACACAGACTTAAATATGCCTCTCATCCTCAGCAAACATCTTTGTTACTTAATAGGAAAGACCAGAATCTCAGAGCTACAGTTTGTATCCATCCCCTGTCAACCCTCCATTTTACACTATGTTTTAAATTCCAGTCTTTACCCCACCATCAATTTCTTTGGCCGTGAATGCTTCTTGCAATGAATTCAAATCCACCTTACCTCTCTCATCCCGGGTTCCAAAATATATGGTAGAAGACACATTGGGGAAGAGGCTATATGTAAGAGCTGGCTTGATAATTCGTTCTTGGCCTTCAAGTGGAGGCACTAATCCCTCAACACAATTCCTACAAAAAGAAACAGATTTGCCTAACTATATGGCCACAAGAGGAAAGAAGCCAAAATAAATACTAAGCAGCCTTGGGAAAGCCAGCAGCACAATATCTTTCTTGCATTTCTGTTGCTATTCTACACAGTTTTATTTAATTGCTATGGCTCTAACTAACACTGATCGAAAATGTGAGTTTTATTTTGGCTGAGAAGCACTGGCTTAGAAAACAAAGGAATCTAAGCTATTTTTCAGCCCATCTACTTAGTAGTTCTATTTCTTTTTGTGAGGACACAACCAGTCTCAGCTGAAATTCAGCAAGGCAAACAGAACATGCCCAGAATCATACATGTATCCATTATTTGGATGTATCTAAGTCCAGTGTGGGTGAACAGACATGTTCATGAAGTTGTGTTTCTCAGACACTCTACCTTTACTTAGTGTATTATGGACTGAAAGCAGCATAGTTAATTTCTGACACTAACCTAGATATGACAGCAACAGAACCATTGGGTGATAAGCCAGATGATGAGGAACCATCTGATTCACCTGAAATGAAAGACAAGGAACATTAACTCACACTGGACAGGTTTGATACAGTAGATTAAAGACAATTTGGGCTTTGAATAAAATAAAATAAAATAATGTACTCAGTACTGCAACAGAATATATCATTAACATGCAAATTAAGCCAGCACATTATTTTCTTTAGAGCACAACTAATTAGATACTGCAAGAAAAAATATTCACAAGTAGATAAAATTATCTACACTTTAAAGATAAACTAGCAGTAATTACAGCCATAATAGATCTTAGTTCTTTTATTAATTTCTGCCTCTCTTGCTATTATATTATGGATTAATATGTGATGTCCAACTGTAAAGATTACTACTATGGTGATAATAATTTTAACTTCTTATTAGATCTGAATTATGTTTTGAAACCTTAGTAATTAGAATCTGTAGTCCTTGGAGATAATCAGTATACCAAAATTCTTTTTTTCTCTGGCTTATTACATTCTTGAACTTTTGCACTTTAAGGAAGGAATATAAATAAACATTAACGACCTTCTCCATCTTCCTCTTCTCCCTCCTCATCCTGACTACAAGCATCTTCCAAGCCATCTGGAAGTTCTTCTTCCACATCTTCTACTTCTGCTTGGTCTAGCAGGGGTAGATTGACTACAGCTCTACAATACAAAGGTTTATAGTGATAAAGTGAAATCTTCTGGGTAGCTTATACTTATTCCTGTAATCCTGCTAATGAAGGAAACAACCAAACAATCTACATCTCAGTGGCCTGAAGAGTTCCCAGACAAGAGCAAATGAAGTTAGGGCATTCCCCCCGAAAAGCCCTCCTTCTCCTCCTATGGCTGCTCTCTTCTATTTTATTTACATGGTAGAATGTCATCACATTCTCAGGATTAGATGCAGCTTCATCTATCTGACCATTGTCTAATACCGATATAAGTTCCTCAAAACAGAACATACACCAGAAGATACAATAGAGCCACATACTGTAGTAAGGCTTAAATTAGGGCACCGTTCTGCAGTCTAGTGTTCTCTAGATGATTTGACACAGTATCATTCCCAGAATTATGGGATCTGTAGCTCCAGCCTAATAGGGGAGCACTAGGCTGGGTTGGGGGGCATAACAATAACAGAAAGGTGGTAATATAAACCCTATTTCCACTCAGCATCGTGCAGTATAGAGAAATATCCTATACCAGATAATTGACAGCTTGTAACAATACTGAAAAAGAACGCTATCCCTGTATAACAAAGAGACCATGGTTATGGTACTTACTCAGAATCTTTCACAGCAGTAGGCTGCCCCCACTTCGCTTCCACGCATAACTGAAGAGAGGAAATTTTTGTCTCTACCTCAGAGACTGTCATTCGTGGGGAGACCTCTGTTGTTACCACCTGTTCTCCAATATTCACAGTTGGAGGATTGAGCAATTGATTCAAGGTGCTATGGTTGGGCGTTTCAGAATTTGAGGCAAGGAAACGAGCATCAATACGTTTAGTGCAGACATCAGCAACATCTGTGCTTATAAGGCTCTGATGGCGGCTACCAGGTTCTAAATTCAGGGAGCTGGGAACTGGCACTTCCTTTGGGGTTATCTGAGCTACAATGTGTGGTTTCCACCGATTGAACAGACTGGCATGGAAGCTGGCATTCATAAGGCAAGAGCCATCAATGCGGTGACCAAATTCATTGTAAGTACTAACTTTTCGGATACCATTTGCTGTTAATTTCCTCATGGCTTCTGTCAACCTTGCATCTTGTTCTTTCAGATTCTGTGATCTAGTCTCACCATCCTCAAGGTGCCACAATGGCCGTTCTGATTTAAGAACCATGCCATTGTGTACAGGTGAACGAGGAGATTTGGCACAGGTTTGCTCAAAACTTGAGCTGCTGTTTTTTCCAAGTTTCTTTTCAAGATTCACAGATGAGCCATCCCCGTTTCCCCCAGAATGGGTCCAGGAAAATCCTGGAGGTCTTGACAATCCTTTCAGCTTCTTATTTTCTGGTGGTAGCGGTTGCTGCTGCTGCAAAGGCACTTTTGCACTAGCTGGCCTCAGAAAAGAGTTATTGTTTAGGACCGGTCTATACGCACTGGAGCTTTGTTTCCCTGAGCTGAGGAGAAAACCCTTTGACACTGGATTGGAACGCTCCCCAGCTGTGCTTGGCATAAGAAATGGATCCACAGTTGAAGATGACATCGTATTACTGAGGACAGAACGAAAGACAGGAGGTGGGACACGAAGAGGTTTCTTCTCCAAGGTACTTGGCTGCAAGCAGATGGACTCAAGCCTCCGATAGGGCTTGTGTCTAAAGTAAGACCGTCGATAGAGCAAGGTGCTCCCAAGAAAGTTTGGGAAAGAATGAGCCTGAGGCGGAGGCGGGCTCAGGAGCACTGCCTCACTACATAACGACTCTGGATACAAGAGGTGGGAACGCGGGGAACAGATCCCTGAGTGGACCGGGCACTCGTCTTGCAAAGTGGTCACATGATTTCGTTCCAGCTGCCAAATAGGCTTCACTTGCTGCTTAGCAAGGTACCAAGACTTGCTCTTGTGGAGCTTTGCTGTGAGTGGTGGCACTGACAGCCCTGGTGAAATGCCCACCTGGAACCGGTTTCCTTTTTTGAGGCTTAGGCTATAGGCTTCTGGCCCTGCTGAGGCCATGTAGAGCCATCCCACACCTTCAATGATCACAGCTGTTGAAAAGGAGTTGGTCAGAGCAGCATTTTTACAATGGCCAGCCTAAAAAAAACAAGAAGCACATATACATATGAAAATGTTGAACTGATCAAGAGGAACATATCAGTGTTGGCCTCACTCTCATTGTTACGGTGATTAAGGAATGACAGACCGTGAACTGGCAAGTTTCTGCAATGCAGGTTATTGTTCACAGAACCTGCTGAGATAAATAGAAGCTTCAGGAAGCTTTTGGAAAAAAAAGTCAGTGTGTTTGTTTCCACAGGGGAATGTGATATAACATCTTCAGTATCTGTTTATGATGTTAAAAAGCAAGTGGCTTTCCTGTTTCTATCTAAGTTTTTGATACTCACTTTCATTCAAGAGTCCATATTCTGCCAGTCATGATTTATCTACAACGTATTCTTTTTATGACTTTTTACTAACTGCTGTCATATTGCTGTCAGTAATATGACAGCAGTTCCCTGCTGTTCACATCAGCCCCAGTAATTAGATTCTAACTATGGCTGCATTCACACATAGTAAAGATGGGATTTTTACAAAAACCATAGTCAATTGAACGTGCCACAAGGACCTGACTTGCAGATAATATTAAACCACAGTAGATAAAGTCAACTTTACACATCATGCTAAGCCAAATCGCATTATGGCTTAACATTTAACATTAACACAAGTCTAACGTCCTATTCTTGGCTACCCAGCTAGACAATATTTCCTCCATGGAGTTGCTCACAGAGATGGTTCATTTGTAAAAAGGTTTAGTGTATATATTCAAGCAATTTTAATCCTCCAATCCACTCTCACTATCCTTTACAAATATGTAATAACACACAGATTTGAAATATCAGGCATACCCCAAAAAGCATGTCTGTGTTGCATGAAAAGGCTCTGAGAGCTGATAATTATTAGTTGACATTTTGATAATCAAAACAGTACCAAAACGGTGCTAATTGTTCGGAAAACTGTACAGTTGGCTAATGCATATTTTTTAAATTGATTAATCTTCTCTTGCTTTTCCATTTGCATGCAGATAAAGAAAAGCTAGCCCTAAGATTACCAATGACAGCCTGGAAGTTCCTTCTCTGTGGATGCCTCCTGATGCAGAGGCAAGCAGCCCCTTGTACCATGTGCCAACAAAGGCAGAAGGACGGAGGCACAAAGCTTAGTTCCATTCTCAAAACTGCAGCCATGAACATTATACAGCTAAAGGAGATTAGCCTCTGTATTTCCCTTTTCACAGCATCATTTTACCTGGTCATTTTTTTAGATGCTAAAAATTAAATTTGTTGGAGGGATTCACCACAGTATATGCATGGCTAAGCACTGAAAGAAAGATATATCTTGATCTAGAGAAGTGCCTTCATATTCATTTCCTTGTAAATCTGCTGCCTTTCAAGGTCTTTCAAAATACTCTCAACAAGCATACAACCTTCAAAAAGCCGTTGTACCAGAAAGGCAGCCACAAAAAACATGTAAGGTTATTGGGGTCAAATCTTTTTCAGAAAATAATGTGTTGCCTCAGATGTCACATTTCAGGAATATTATCCTCATCAAAATTCAGCTTCCAAGCTCTTGCTGAAAAGAAAAGAGCAACCTTTGCTGTCACAACCGACTTCAATGCTATCCCAAGCAAACTGCTTCTTATGCCAAAACAACTGTCAACACTAACATTCTAGAACAAGAATTTGTCTACTGATTGTACACTGGAGTGGGCTGCATCCCTTGTCCTCTTCCAGAAGAGCCACTGGACAGCTCACCACATTACCCTGCAAAACTATCCTAGAAGTCCGCCTAAGCCTCCTAGTCCAAACCAATCAAGCCGAAAGTCTACATACTTGAGAACAGATGGATAATAAAGCTGCTACCAATTGCCAAAGGACCCATTTTTTAATATAATTTTTATTAAGAATTTTAATAAATTCTTAATAAAATACAGTAGTAAAAACTAATACAAATGAAACTTAGAGAAAAAGAAGAGAATGGACAGAATAACAATTTCAGGAAAAAGAAAAAGAAATAATATAATAAAGAAAAAGAAATATATAAAGAAGTGATTTCCAACCTTCATCACAATAAGTATGAACAAATGTAATAACTCCTCACCCCCTATAAGGTTAAACAGATATCTCTTCATCCCATATCCCATCCCTTATCTATAGGCAAATCCGTAAAACATCAATTTTTCAATCCTGATGTCAGCAAAAAGTCCTTAAAGGATTGCCAGAACATTGCAAAAAAAAAAAGTCTTATTTTAACCTTGATCAAATAAACCAACTTTATATTCCTTCCTTTTATTTCTAACAGTCTTACTCTTTAATTCAATCCAATATTATCATAGGATTTGATTTCTAGATTCTTCTTTATTCCACTGCACAGATTTCTTCAAGGCTTTAACAAGCCTCTTTTGTAGATCCAATAAGAAAACATTTTCCAGATCATTATTCTGGTTTATCATTTGTATTTCCCTTTTAACTTTTAAAACTTCAGCCAGTTTCTTTTGTATATCCAGTAAAGAGTTCTTTTCCAAATCATTCTCTTGGTCTGTCATTTGTAGTTCCATTTTCAGTATTTTCTCTGTCTTGTCAGATAAAATTTGTTCCACATCTTCATTAACATCTTTTAAACATAGTCTATCCATAGAAGCATACATCATTACTGACAATGTTGATATTGTAGTTACTAATTTCTGGCTCCATTCTTCAAAGATCTCCTTTAATATTTCCAATGTCATAATGTTTTGTGTCAT